GATACCCTTATGTCTTAATTAACATTTGGGATGTCACATGTACAGTTCAACTATCGTTAAAAAAAATAAACACATGAAGATCTTTAATGGACAATTGGGCAGAAATAAGAAATCAAGAAGATTTATATTAAGTGAAGGTAGCTTGAGTATGTAATAAAATGACTTAAAATTAAGACTCAAGTTAAAATTTTCAAATTTCTTTCCTTAATATTTTGGTCAATTTTTCTTGTGAATTTTTATGTGAAAAATAATTTTTCTTAAAATTTTGATATATGATAATCCTTAATATATATGGCTTTTAAAAAGAATTTCTCATACCTTTGGCACCAAGATCAACAAGCTTTTGTAAAAGAAGATGTGAGAAATTCTTTTAGTAGTTGAGTACTTGAGGAAAATTCTTGAATTGTGCAATATGACACCAAAATCGACAAGTATTCATAATAAGATGTGCAAAAAATACTCTTGCCAGTTAAGTGTTTGATGAAATACTTAGATGATAAAGCATAAAATCTTGTAAACAAGTATCTTATTAGAAATTATTGAAAGAAAGTGGAACTCTCAAGTCATTGGGTTGAGAAAAGATGTAAATACAAACTGGGGCAGAACCTATATAGATAATGTTTACATTCTCTCTTCCATTAACTCAATTATTTTTATAAGTATTTATTTCTTGTTGTAATGTGTTATATCGAGAGTATTAAATTTATTATTCCATTAATTAAAATATTGTAAAAATTTATAAAACCTAATTCACCTCCTCTTTGGTTGTGTTAGTCTATTGGGTCAACACTTAGCATACCATGTAAATCATTCTAAACCTAACAATTTCATTTAATTACTCAAATACTATTATATTTGCTACGCCTCCATACTCAATATGAGGCGTAATTCTTGTTCATGCCATTTTCATACAGTGGGCTCATAAAATTTATATATGCATAAATAAAAAAATATAGTACAACCTAGTATCTCATGTGATATATACAATAATTATATATACAAAATATGATATCAAAATTTAGAGTTTAATAAAATAAAACGAAAATTTCTCGAATATGCACAAATTATACAAAAATAAGAACCCTTTTTTATAGGTTCTACTCGTCTAGCAGTAGTACCGGCTCTTCATTCTTCTTTGAAAAATATCAGGGTAAAATTTAATGAGCTTCATCAACTCAATAAATATTTATGTCCTTTCAACTCAGATAAGATTTAATGCAAAACACACAATATGAGACAAATACAATAGTGATGTTTCAATACAAAATTTATTTATTCTTTTCATTATTTCATTAAATGTATATTCACATACTCTCGAAAGAACATAGATACACTCAAATATCAATTATCATCTTGAAACATAATTATATACACACTCGAAAGGTCATTTCTAAGGTTTTTATCGCACGATTCCATTTATGTCGTCTCGAGGAAAGGTGAAATGGATCCCCCCATCATATGGATAACATACACACAAATCTTATAATGGCCACAACAGGTACATTTGCTAGGTGACCTATACTCACAAATACCTATCAACATCTAGATTATATTTCAGACTCTATCCATGTGCAGGTTCACCATACCCGCTAAATTTTAGCCACACACACACTCTCCTCCTCGATTCAGACTAAATGAGAAGGTATTCAGGGTCCCTATCCTATTCACTCCTACCCTCTCATTCCAAAAGTCTTATCTATTTAAATCTTATTCTGTTTTTCTCTGAATTTTATTTAATTGATCATTTCATCACCTCAATTATTTCTTTTCTTTTCTATTTTTACTTTTTTATTTTATTTTTTTCAATTTTTCACTTAATTAGAAATTTTCTTAATTCTAAATTTCTTATCTCATCACAGTCTAAATAAATTCTCAGTGTTTTGGGTATGTTGTATAGTTTCGTTTCCTCATAATTTCCAATTGCTTAGGTTCACTGGTCATAAATTTGGATTCTATTTTTTATTGAAAATTGGGTCAGTGTCCCTTCAAATTTAAAAATTCATAATTTAATAAAATAAATACAATTTTTTGAAATTCAAACCCAATTAAAATTTAAAATTACTTACACTCCTATACGTTTTTTCCGAATACGCTTGAATGCCCAAATTTTCTGTATACATACGACATAAATTAATCAACGTACCTTGAAATACTAAACAAAATTAATTTAATTAATTTTCGAGTTCCAATGACAACCCAACAGAATACCTAAAATTTTCGGGATCCGTACCCGAAAAATCTTTTGGCTTCCCTTTCGGCAGATCGTACGTATTTTCGTTTTCGAGGAAAACTTTTCAGCTTTTCGAACGGTGAGTCAGAATCCCAAAAGGTGATTTTGGCCTACATTCCTGTGGAGGACCCTTCGGCTTCTATGGTGGATGGGTTTTCCCCATTTCCGAGGAAACCTCCTCAATTCCCGTGTAGGTGGGTACCCCGACTGAGCTCGTGCGGCCAACCCGACACCGGTCCTGCTCCACCGCCGCTCAAACCACCACTAAAACACAGAAAACAAAACGGTTTACCTTTGGTGTGAGAGATTCGGCCTCGGCTTGGCTCTCAGTCACCCCGCGACTCTTTAGCTTGTTTGAGTTACGAATGTGATTTTCTTAAACCTATAAACCGATTAGTAAAAGGAATAAAAGAATCTAATGAAATAAAAAAAATTATCAGAAAATAGAGATGAAAGGGATGAAACTTACCAATTTTTTGGACACCAATGCTGCGACAGTTCAGCTTTGGATTTCGTCATCACACAAAGCTCCTCAGCCGCTATTTCTTTTCCTTTTTCTTCCTCCTTCGTGATTCTCTCTCTCTCCTCTCCCATTGCGCGACCGTTCACAGCTTTCCCTCTCTTCCCACTCGACCGCCCCCTTTTTCCTTCGCTTTCTCTCTTTTCTTTTCCCTTCCCCTCTTCCCTTTCGGCCTCTCTCTCTTTTCTCATTCGGCTTCCCTGCGCGACACCCTTTCTTTCTTCTCTCCCCAATTGCCTATCTCTCTTTCTCCCTTTCTCTTTTTCGGTTTCTCTCCCAAATAAAGGAAACTCCAATCTCTTTCCCTTTTATACCCGTTCCCTCAGCCGTTAGATCTCACAAGCTCGATCTGGACCGTCCATTTTCTTTTAAATCTCTTCAATCCGATCTCTTCAAGCGGTCCAATCTGGGTTGTCCAATTTTTTTAATTTCCTTCACCCCCTTTCACTTCCCTTTATTTATGTTTTTATCCACTTTTTTTTCTAACATACTTTCATTTTGGTCTTTAAAATTAATTAAAAGCTCCAAAATTTAAAAGTTCTTTTATTTACATCCAAACTCCAAATTTATTTTTTATTTATATATATTTTTTTTAAGTAGATATTTCAATATTCACTAAAATCCTTTGAAGAACATGGTTAACGTCACGACCAAAATGACTCATTAAGATAAAATATGAAGTCCATATTTACTAATTTTATAAGAAACCAAATTCATAATTTGTTAACTTGATATAGTAAGAAAACATATATGTTGTATAAAAATAATGTTTGCCATTGACTAGAAGTCTTCTGAGTTATTGCATATTTTATGATATAATATATTTTGTGGTTGATAAATTTTTTATAGATATATTTCTCCTTGATTTATTACTTAAAGAATCTCTAAGATAAATAAGATTCACCTAGGACCGAGAACAAATTAGGTTCAACATTAATGATTAATTCAATTTTGACTTGTTTAAAATTGAACTTAAATCTAAGCTGAAAATTTAAAGAAATCCTAATTTAATTATATAAGACGAATATAAATTTTAAACTATTTTGAAAAGAAAGTTAATAAAAATATTCGATAATATATTTACTAGAGTTAAAATTATTTTGAGTTAAATTTTAGTATTAATTTAGTATAATATAAATATAAATAAAATTAAGAATTAATTTAAATTTTAAATAAAAATTTATATATTTTAATAATTAAATAATACTTATATATAAATAATAGTATAATTAATAATCTTCTAATAAAAATAAATATAAATGTATAACTAAACTTGAATTCACACAAAAAAATATTAACTATTTAATTCATAAATAATTAATAATATTTAATTCAATAAAAATGTTAAGAACAAAAAAATAAAAATTGATGATTCTCTCGATATGTACTGTTTGTCTCTTTATTACACAAGAGGACCCAGCCTACACGTTTGGCTACCCAATTTGAAAATTCTGAAGGTGACCAAGACCATTCCAAAAGAAGTGAATAGTTCTGCGCTCTCTCTATCATTTCCACACTTTCACCCCTCTATATATACCACCAGCTTCCAGCCGCATTCATCATAAACACGCAACAGGGTGCCTACCAAGCTTTAATAACTCTGCAGATTGTTTGGTGATGTTTAATTACTGATTTGATCTCCTGCTTTCTTCTTTCTTGTTATTAATTGCTAGTTACAGCGAAGCAATAACCCAAAAGAAGAAAATCCATTGTAGTTCTTTGCAATAGTGACTGAACCAGGTTGCCAAAAATGAAGTTTGGGAAAGAATTTGAAGCACAGCTGGTGCCGGAATGGCAACAAGCCTACATGGACTACGCTAGCCTGAAGAAGATTTTGAAAGACATACAGCGTTTTAAGCAAAGAAACAAGCCGCCGCCGGGTACTGCTAATACCGCGGCTGGTTTGAAGAGGAAGCTAACGCTTTACAGAGCATTCAGTGGGTTAACCCAGAGACCCACCAGCCCCT